TTTTTTTTTTATATTTTACAGTAAAACGTATTCTGAGAATACGTTTTACTATGAATTATTTGTAAAACGTATTCATATAATACGTTTTTAGTTTTTAATTTTTTTATTGGTAAATTCAAATTTATAAACGTATTTCGAAAATACGTTTTATAGTTACTATTATTTAATTCTATTCCACTATTAAACGGAAATATATTTTTTTTTTATTTTTAAAAAAAATTAGTAAAACGTATTACGAGAATACGTTTTTCTAATAAATTTTTATTAGAAAAACGTATTCTAAGAATACGTGCTTTTGATTTTTTTCCACTTCTTTTTTTTTTTTTTGTTTTTGTCCACATATTTTTTTTTGTTTTGTAATAAATAAATCACCCATGTGTAAGGGCAACTTCCTCCCACTTTCAATAATGGTTTTCCTTAATAAGATATAAATAAATGGTAGGTACATGGTATTTGTGTATAGAGTAATTCTACTGTTAGTACCTTCGTCCATGCATAACAACAGGTATCCTTCCAATTCCTGTCAAGTGTCCATTTTCATAATTACATTAAAAAAAAATGAAAAAATCGTATAGATTAGTACAAAAATACCCTTACTTAAAAATACTAATTAAAAATACCCTTACTGCCAAGTGTTCATTATCTGTTGTTTTGGTTTGGTTAGTCCGTATGCTTTAGCTTTTCAGGATCCTGGTAAATGCGGTTTGAACAAGTTATTCATCATTGTGCTTTTTTTTGGATGTACTCTATTGGTTTTGATTTTTTTCATACAAACTGTTAATTGGTTTGCAGAGTTTACTTGTATATTTTCACGATGTGGTCTAGATTGGAATGAACTGCTGTGTTGGATTCTCATCTTATCTAGTTCTCTGTTTTCTAAACCACTCCATTGGAAAAAGACCTTCCCATAAGATATGAAGCTTTGAAAATATAACAACAATGGCACTGTTATGTTTCGATAATTGTTGTGGTAATTAATTTAGTACAACTTTGTGTGTCATAGGCAACATTTTGTGTTTGCCGTACAGTCCAAATGAATAAGGGCAGAGTATAGTTCTTTATTTCTGATATGCTAATTTGAATGTGTTTTTCTTAGGTGTTTTGTCATGGCTGACGAATGGACAAGATTTTTTAAGATCATTCTTGAGACACAAATGAGTTCTCTGGTACGAGGGTCTTTCTAAATAATAGCATAACATGTTTTGTTATTTTTCATACTAGATCTGTTGGTGTACGTTATATTCATCTATATTTTAAACTTCATTTACTCAGTCTCTCCCTCCTGCAATTTGGGAACATTATGGGTCCGAGCTTTCACAAAAATGTATAATCCAAACTTTAGAAGGACGTGAATATGAAGTAACTCTAAAAATGGTGGATAATCAGCCGACCTTGGTCGAAGGATGGGATGCTTACATTCAGGCAGAATACATTGAAATACATTATATTTTGTTTTTCAAGAGAATCAACAATTTCCATTTCAAAATTATGGTGACGAACAAAACTGGTTGTGAAAGAACACCGATATACCACTTTTGTTTGGACATAAAAAAATGGCACATTGACCGGGCACGCTTCGTAAGTAAACACTGCTTAAGTCTTTATTTTTTCAGATAAATACTATTTCATATATATTTCTCATCCATTACGCTGAAATGAACTGACAAAAATGCAGCCAATTCCAATGCCTTTTTGGAGAGACCACATCGAGAGATACTTTAACAACTACACTAAGGTTGTCATCATGTTCAATGAGAAGGTTTATAAAGTTGATGTAATTCATGGTAATGGCAAGAAATTGTTGCAAAACGGTGGTGCTCGACAGGTTGTGATTGATAGTGGCATTTTGGTTGGTTCTTCATGCATGTTCACCCACGTCGGGCCACTCAACCCGGATAAAGTGATCAAGTTTAGGGTTAGGATTTGTTAGTAGCAGGGATAAGATTTAGGCCATGACAAACTTATGTTCTTTTTGTTCTTCTCCTGGCTACTGATTGACATTATAATATCTGTTTTAATGAAGTGTAATGCTACTAGATACATAGTCATTTTGTTTGGTTGGTAGCCAAACTTTGGTAACTATATTTTTAAGTGACTTGTGCGTTGATTTGGAATCTTCTGATATTTGTTGTGACTTCATTTACTTTCATGCGGGTATGAAAAAATAAACTCAGTTGATATTGAATTATTGAAAATCTGAGAAATATCTGAAACATTAAGATGATTGTCGGTTGCCTTTCCAAATTAACCTGGCTGTTCATTGTATTGCACTTTCACTTATCTTGCTGATTCCAGTTTTTATAACTAATCATGAATATGTGGCTCATATTAAGCAGTCGTATCTGTTGGATATGAACACGCATTTATGAATGTCAACTCATAGACAGACGTATACAAGTACATTGTCAAAAATTGCCTCCATTATCAATGACAAGTCNTGTCAAAAATAGCCTCCATTGTGGCAAAAGAAAGTGAAACTGTACCAACCACAAACATGAACGAAAAGAAAAAAAAAAAGAAAGAAAAAGAAGAGCACACATGATGAAGTCTTCTAACCACTTCATCTGCAGGATCCTCAGCTTCCAGTTTTACATCCACAGCATCCTTGCGGTCCAAGTAGCAGGTTACCTTCTTCAAAATATATCCTATAGCTCTTTCGAGAATCCACAACACACCCACAGTATATGCCTCCACTGAACCTCTAAAAGAAGTACTTAGAAGAATCCCACAACTGCAGATTATCCTCTTCAATGAAAGCCCTACCTCCCAATCCCAATCTCCAATTGATCATTTACCAACTAAACCCACACTCCTTATTTTCCAGGCAATCCCAAGAAACCGCCAACAGCTTCCAACATAACTTAGCTCTATGACAAAGAAAAATCACACAGAATTTCACACACAACTTCACACTCAATCCCTTTCTTCCTCAATTGGACTCTAAACTAATATACTCAAACCAACATCTCCAAATGAATGTTTTGATCTTACTCTGAATGGGAAGCTACCAAGTTACCTTCCACATGTTCAAGATTTCCTTATGATTGCTGCAATCACCTGTACTGAGCTCATAATACCTTTAGTGCTTATTGATGGTGTTGTAGGCTTCTTTGACAGAGAAAATGCCTGACCTGCACCAATCCCACACCAGATTATGTCTCAAGCTCACAGCATTAAGAGGAGTGCCCTTAAGTCTTTGAACCCCAAACCCCCCCATCCTTGGGTCTAGCTAACTTAACAACAAGTCATTTGGCAATTAATTTCCTACATCACAACATCATGGACAAAAATAAACGAGATTAAATCACAACAGATTCCAGGTTGATGTCATACCAAATGGATTAATAAAAGATGTTAATAAATATAAATATAAGTTGAATACAAAACTAAAACAGTACAAACATATCAGGGATTGATCAACTGGCCATTAACAACAAACACGAAGCAACACACATTCATCAACCCTATTCAGACATTTCATCAAACATGTAATGTGCTTGATAAGGACAAACAAAAAATAAAAGAAACTTCAGTCAACAAATTCACCTACTCACATCAGATCAAATATTTTTCCAAAACCATTGAATAAAAGGATGAACACCATAGGCAAGAAAAGGGAATTGTATAACAAAACCACCAGAAAATATTCGAGATCATGACGGGAAGTTACAATCATATATCAAACAACGTTGCTTGTCTTTACATTTGGAGTACAAAATCACTATAACACAAACGCATTTCAAAAATACCTAGATGAATCGACCGCGCCTCATAAACATTTGATTGCATCTGTATCCATTTTGTACGTATGGTTCGTGTATCGTTCGAACAATTGTGTCTACTGGGAGTATAGTTCTGGGATTTTGATGAGAAAGGGAAGAAATATATGGGAAGTCGATGAAGATGAGGTTCTCGTACAAGGAACAAAGAGCAAGAATAATTGTAAGAACAATGAGAATTTTATTTTTTTTAATTCGTATGATGATCAGATGATATAATAATACAAAAGTTGAGGATGTAATCATATGTTATTGTAATTGTAGGATTGTTAGACAAATAAGCTAAATAAATGTCCTTCAAAGTAAATACAATTAACATTTTATAATTAATTTAAGTTTAAATTTAAAGTAAGGGTATAATAGGTTTTTTGCCATGTACGAGGTGTACGAGCCATATACAAGGCAATTCATGTACGAGGCAAATTCTTTTTTGCCTCCTATATTGAATATGTGGTTGATATTCAATCTTGAATCAATCTAATGGTTAATAAGGGAGGTATCTGATGTTATGCACGTACGAGGGGTACCTGTCCCTAGAAGATCCCTTGTCTCTAGCTTATGATGGGTACAAATTAATTTGTCGATCAACTTATGTAGTAATGTGCAATAGTGAGTTGATAAGCAATTTTAAGATTGAGTAAATTACCCCCTACTACCACATGTTTTATTAATTCTCAAATGACGAATATAAGAAATTAAAGACTAATGGACGATATAAAGGTCATTGTTACGAATTTATAAACAATTTTATGCCATAAACATTTATTTGTTGTAATAAAATCGTTTGAGAATCTCGTGTCCCCATACAAACAATGTTGATTACTTTCTCAACCAAACAAGCAAAGTTCTCTTCATTCTTACTATTCAATTTGTTGGCATATCCTATTTTCTTCAAAACACAAATCTGAAACGGTGAGTAATTTCGCCCAATTTGCTCGCAGATCGTGAAAAAAAAAAAGGATAGGTCATGGAAAATTGATGTTGCGGCTTTTGATGTTGATATTGAGCGACTTAGTTTGCATACTTACTATTCAATCATGGAAGATTGAAGCAGGAAAAAGGCTCTGAGAGTGATGATGAGTCACCGGGTCGATTGTCGGCAACTGATCGGAAGAAGTTACATGTCGATCCAAAATTAGCATCAAAGTTGGAGTAGTTATTANAACTATTAATTTACGTTTAGTTTATCTTGATGAATGGTTTTTATTGATGATCCAAGATACTTAGAATGGAAGTTGGAGAAGTGGTGTTTGTGTCGATGGTTTATTTTTTATTGTCAATCAAATAAACTTGTTTGAATATTTTCAGCTCCTTATTGATTACTATGGGGGTGATTGTTTATGTATTGTACAGTAAAAAAACTAATTCAAACTCAAATTTAACACAACTTTAACTCAACTCCATTATTTTCAATATTATTAATATAATAAAATAATATCAACCAATTATTTTTACACATCACATCAACTTTAATTTACTATTCACCCACTCACATAATTTTAACTAACTATCACTTCCAATCATTTTCTCTTACTTTTACATCAAATCAACTTTAACTATTTTATTTTAAATACTATTTTAATATATCCACTAACAACTAACTATACCACTTTTTTTCAAACTTAACTATAGTTAAAAAAAAACTAGATTTTTACTAGTTGAATTCATATCCAATCACCCCCTATGTATTCATGTTTAGTAAATCTTGATCAATAGACATATTTATGTAAATCAGCTCATGATATCAGTGTTTTGAAATCCGGACTGGTCCGGCGGGTCGACCCGGGACCGGTCGACCCCGAGTCGGAACCGGTCCGGGTGGAGTATTTGGACCGGGCAACCAAGGACTCGGTCAAAACCCGACCGACCCGGCAGAGACCCAGCCGACCCAAAGCATTGACCCGGCCGGGTCAACCCGGTTGACCTGGTCCATATATATTTCTTATATTTTTTTTTTATTTTTTTGTTTTTTTAAAAATAAAAATATGTATATATGTTTATATGGTAAATATTTATCATGAGATACATATTATTAACACTTTAATATACAAATTTTATACACAAAACATTTAATTTTGTTACTTTTATGTATATTTATATATAACAAAAATACTCTATATATAATTTTAAAAATTTTAAAATTAATTATCCGGTTCAGCAATTGACCCGGTGACCCGACAGTTGAACCGGTGACCTGGTGACCCGAGAACCTGTCCGAGTTGATCACGGGGCCAGGTTTAAAAACTATGCATGATATGCAAATAATATATAAAAAAATTACCAAAAAAACAGCAATATTCACAAAATCAAAACAATGGTTAGTGATGAAGATAAACAACATAAAAACCATTATACAACCTTTTTTGTTTTTTGTTTTTGTTTTTTTTTTTTTAAATTTGGCCATCGAATTAATGAGTGTCAGCACATACACTATATGAATATTTTACACATACCGTCAATTTGCAGGATTTCTTCAACGACAATTGTGTATTATGAACATTATTCATTCCCAAACTCATTCAATTGTGTGTTACGAAAATTATTCCCAAACTCACTCAATGGTTCGTGCTTCTATAATGAATTCTCCGAAAATTGACCCAATTTTACCAAATCGNTTTTTCACATCAACTGGGCATCAATTACACAAGAATTAATGAGGTAATGGAAGATTGATACACATCCCTTTTTTTATCATAATTTTCGTTTTCTGGACAAAATTTTTCAAAGGAACTAACACAGTTGTAATAAAAACTATTGTCTTATATTTGTGGCAATTGGGAAGATATAGGTCGCAGTGCGTCCATTGGCCAAAAAACATGGCCCTGACTAGGCCCGGTTAAAATCCGAGCCGAACTTGGACCCATGGTCAACAGGCTTGATCAGGCCGGGTCGGTGCGTCTAAACATGTTACTATATTTTTATACGGGTGAAAAGTATCCGAGGCTAATGTCCGGTGGGGTTTAGTAGAGGTTTTAAATTGTTTCTTCTTCTCCTCGGAACGTTATCTACTACAAACTATTCTTCAGCCATGGCGTCCACCGTTCCATTCTCACCGAGCCCCATAGCTCAACTCCGCCAAGCCAACAGCTCCAATTATCATCCATGGAAAACCCACAAAAATCCTATCTTTATTCACATGTCGGGCCCCGAGGTTCCCAGTTATTCCCAAATACCCCAACGACCCTCGTCCTCTTTCCCTCAAACCCTCAAACTTCCGTTCCTCCACAGCCCCGACCCGGTCCTCCCGCCGACCGTATCGGACTCCACCGACGACAATTTCGCGGAAAACCCTCACAGGTTGTTCACCCTGCAGTTAATCCCAAACGGGTACCGCCTGAATCCGGCCGTACAATCGGACGGCCGGATATTCATCCAGGACCCGCCATGGATTTCTTCTTTCTTCGACAAGAGCCTGCTCTTCAGGAGCCGGAGCCGGAGCGGGGTCAAAATAGAATTTCAGGAAATGGAGAGGCGGAAGTACCATTTGCTCCGGCGGCGGCAGGTGAAGGCGGAGACGGAGGCGTGGGAGAACATGACGGCGGAGTACCGTGATATGGAGAGAGAAATGTGCGAGAAAAAATTGGCGCCCAACCTTCCTCACGTGAAGCAATTGATCCTGGGCTGGTTTGAGCCTCTGAGGACGGCCATCGAGAGGGAGCAGAATCTGCAGAGGTCGAAAAAGAACAAGGAGGCATTCGCGCCTTTTATAGATGCTTTGCCAGCGGAAAAAATGGCGGTCATTGTGATGCATAAGATGATGGGGTTGCTTATGATGGGGGGTAAGGATGGCAGGTGTGTTCGTGTGCTGGAGGCCGCCCTTCAAATCGGGTTAGCAATCGAGCATGAGGTGAGTGCACATTTATTTATTTTTATTTTGTTTTAAGAAATATTTTATGTTGTGCAGCTTGTGCTATCACTTTCATCTTGCTGATAATCATTGTTATTCTTAT